ATCGAGAGCTTCGCTTTCTGACTCAGCTCTCTCTTCCCCATGACGGACCGGTACAGCACCCGCTTTACAGCAGACGCTGCACCAATCCGCCTGCGCTCCGTTCTTCCCCCATTCGTGAACAAGATCCCCAGATACTTAAACTCCTCCACTTGAGGCAGGACGACCCCCCTGACCCGGAGAAGGCACTCTACCCTTTTCCGGCTCAAGACCATGGCCTCGGATTTGGAGGAGCTGAACCTCATCCCGGCCGCTTCGCACTCGGCCACGAACCGCTCCAGTTCAGTCCATTTACCAAAAGTATGACCACAAATATGCTTTTTCCAAATCACTTCTGTGTTTTGTGAGGAGATGAGAAACTCTCAGCTCCACGGCTCCACAACTGCTCAAGATTTCTATCAYCCGTGGCAGTTTGGTCAAACGTAAGGATGGAAGAGTCGACCTGTGAGGAGTGTGTTCTGTAATGGGAAGTGGGAGGTTTTCTGGGAGGTGGTGGAATCATTGGAGACACGAACTGATGGAAGAACCTAGACATAAAAACCTCAAGATCTCAGGCCAACTGAAAAAGTTTATACTGTATTCTGATGAATACAGATGGGGAGAATGGAAAACAAAATTTTCCTGATGGAAATAATGAAAAACGCAGTCGTAAAATCCTTCATAGTGTTGTTTTAATGCAGCAGTTTAATATAAAAGTGTTTGAGCCAGTGTTACTCCTACACCTGACACACCTGGGCTGTGATGACGAACGGGTCGCGCAGGGAGAGCAGCATTGCGATGTCTTTCAAAGTAATTTAACAACAAAAGACGAAGCAGGAACTTCACCTTTGCTCCACGTTTAAACAGAAAAGACAATGTTGTTGTACGAGAGCCCAACCTCTCAGACCGGTCCAACTACATTGTCTGTATACTTAAGAGGTTGAGACGATGAAACAGACGAAATGGGTAATTATAGAAAAACAACCAACATCTGTTTGTTTAAAGAGTAAAAATATACCTGTTTAAACCAGAATGTGGCCTGTGTTATTAGAATTTCAAAGTGTTATCACAAATATAATTTGCTTGTTAAATGTGTACTTTTTTTCACATTGAACAAAAGAGACTTGGTCAAGAAAGACAGCAGATTTAATAGAAAGACGTACAGAACAACTGGTGAATAACGAATCTCTTGCTTCTGTTTAAACATGCGTTAAGACGAGGATGGGTCTTCATTGTAAAGTGCAAAAAAAAAAAAACACAAAAAGAAAAAAAGAAAAGAGGTGTGAATTGGCAAATGTTAAAGGAAATAAAATGGAAAACCTTTCTCAAAGATTTGTACATTTTGAGTCCAGCAACCTTCCAGTGTCACAACAAAAAACAGAACTTTAAATCAACATTTACTTGTTTTTTCTAACTATTTTCTTCAATGATTCCAACGTGAACATAATTCTACTTTTGACACAAATGGAATGCCATACATTCTTCTTTTTTTATAACAAGCTCCTTATCTATAAGATTTATTTTAATGCACTGTTTCTGACTCTTTTTTTTTGGTACTTTGTGGTAATTAATCTTATTACTACAACACTTTAAATGTTCTTTGTTCTCTGTGCAAAGTTTTCCTCCTTGTGCGTTTTCAGATCATAGGTCTGCATCGTAGGGTCTGCCGTTGAACGAGCTGTTCCCGGACTGCCCCCCGGGGGTCTTGGCCCTGGGGAAGGACACGTCATCATCCAGGTTGTCTCTGGTGTACGGCACGCTGCTGCCGGCGCTGCTCCTGGTCCGGCTCAGGCTCGGGACCTCCACGCGCCTCGGCTCGGGCTTGGGCGGGGGCTGCTGGTACTGCTCCGGGTGCCGGCGCCGGTGCTGGCGGACGATTTCCTCGTCCAGCCGCCTCTCGCCCCGGTTCCTGCCCCCGCAGCAGCGGACGATCCCGACCATCATGACGATTCCGCCCAGCACCTCGAAGATGCCGCCGATGTAGCCCAGGATGATGCAGTAGCCCACGCGGATCGTGACCCCGTTCTGCAGGTACACCGACGTGATGCTGCCGATGCCGTACGTGTACCAGGCGACGGGGATGATGACCAGGACGCCGGAGGAGAAGAACAGAAACCCGGCGATGGCGCAGACTACCCACTGGGGTTTCTCTGCCCAGCAGCGCAACCCCGGGATGGCGAAGCCCAGACCGATGAGAGTCACGACCAGGGAGCCGACCATCATCCCCTGGGCCACCTTCACCACCGTGTTGTCGTTGAAGTACGTGGCGTCCTGCAGGTTGCAGCTCTGTTGCACCCCTGCCGTGTTGGTTGAACAAACGTCCCAGACCCCCTGTTCAATGACATACGAAGCTGGTTGTTGTGGGATACTGCCGAAGGTCCTCCAGTTTGGGGCCACGGTGCAGACCAGGTTCAGGATCCACCCGCAGGGTCCCATCACCGCCCCGAAGATCAGGATGCCCGGAGTGCGCAAAGTTCTCCGGATCCATGTCGTGTGCCTCTCTCTGGAGAACATCCGCCGAAAGTCTTCCGGCATGGCTGCTGCTGTTGCTGCTGTGGGTCAAACAAACTGAAACGAGTGACTTCTGACAACTAAACAGATGGTTCTTTAAAATAAATCAACTGAAACTGAAGGAGGAGGAGGGGGAGAGATCAGACTTTCCTGTTTGTCTCCAAATGGACAGGTGTGGCGCGCCGCGCGCAGGCGGGGCTCTTTTTCATCCTCACCTGCCACCACAAGGAAAATAAAAATAAAAAGAGAGAGTGGTGTTTCAGAGAGGCTTTTTTATGCAAATTTCTGATGTCTGATAAAGAACAGATGAGATTTAAGAATCCGGTCAACTTGTTCTGGTTTTGAACTGGTGTTTTAATAATAAATCCATGGTTTTTGCAGCTAAATAAAAAAGGAGGAACAGTTTGGTTCTAAAATCTTGTAGACCTCAAAGAAACAAAGCATGCATCCTTGGCAATGAAGTTTTGTGAATATGAGTAACAGATTTCTTTTTAACTGTAACAATTTTTTTTAGTTTCAACTCTACAGAATTAGTAATAAATCTAACTTCATCAGAGGCAGATGAGCTCAGATGTTGTGGTTTTGGTTTCCACGTGTCACCAAACTCCCAGAAAGAATGTAGTTTCACAGGATGTTTCTCACAATAACTTGTAGCTACTTCATCTTTCTCTTCTTAAAAATCATTATGGTTATTAAATTTTAAAACTTGAGTTCAATTGCCGCCTGAAAAAAATGTGAACTCAACTTCAAAATAAGCTTTAACTTTGGATGGCAAGTTAGATAATTTGCCTACTTGATGGTAATTTATTGGTTAAACTTGATACTGTGAGTTATGACTAACAGAACATTACTATCCTCCTCTGTCTTTCTTGTGTTTTTGTGATGGCGGCTGCTCTCAGATCAAACTGATCACCTAAAGAACAGAGATTTTTTCACTAATATTGCATCCTTTTATGCAAACTCATTACCTAAAATCCCAAACCAGGTCCTTTATTTTTTCAAGTGATTCAGTTTRCGAAGAGAAACACTTTTTTAGAAGACATGGAAATGCAGATATTTACACTTTTATTTGAAAAAAATCAGATTAAGGAGAGCTATAAGAGAATATATGTTTGTGTTTTGTGATTAGAACACAACTTTCTGTTTTATTGGATTATTGCATTGTATATCCATTTTCAAGGGTGAATTAGCTTGTGCTATAATCTGGTACAATGCATCAAATAGTGACATTTATGTTTGAGTTATACATTGTCCCTTTATAAGTAAAGTTCATATAGTTTAATGAAGAATGCCTGTTTGTTTTATCTGTAATTTCTATCAAATATGCATATATGTGTAGTTCAAAGTCCTTTGTGTGCGTACGGTGTCACTTATAAAAGCGGTTGGATGGGGAATGTCAGGTATGCCAACCAAACAGACTGAATCTGCACAATCATCATGATCATCACAACCTCCATTTCCATTTTGATCTGCTGATCAGCTGTTGGTTCGTTGAAGTTTTACCTGAAACTCATCAAGTGTTCATCTGTGAATTAGAATAGAGGCCAGAACTTTCAGTGACGCCTTATAATGCTGCATGTTGGGCACCAAATGTCAAGTTTAGATAAAATGTCAAACTAAGTATGGGATAAGCAACGTCCAAATGGGTTGGGGTGCTGGATTCTGGAGGATCTCACTTTCTAAGCAAGTTTTATGTATTTATATTTTCCTTGAGAAGTCATAGTTTCTAGTCACCATTTTTATCTTCTAATAACTTTTTTAATGTCTTTCAATGGGTTTTATTTATTTACTTTGCCTGTTTTTTCACTCAGTTTTATTCTAARCATTTATCAGATGAAGACTTGTGCTTTTCACACACATTTCTCTGACTTATGTATCATTCAGGCATTAAAAAGCAATCTTATCAAGAATAGACCTGTATTGTGGCAAATTTATGACAATGTAACAAACCTTTTTCAAGCTGGTTGCAAAAAACAAAACAAATAAACACACAATTTGCTCCCATTTCTAAAACACAATTGATGTAAAACAATAAAAACTAGTTTGTAAAAGTAAAAAAGCAAAATATAATTTGTAGCTGTTCCAATCATTTTTCAAATGTTTAGCATATTACCCTATAGATTGGACTTTTTATTTTATTAATGATGATGTGTAACAATAATATATTTATTGCCCTGTCTTTAAAAGATGTTGAAAAAAGAATAGAGTTTTCTCTTTCGAGTTATTTGTGTAACAATCCTGCTTGGTGACTTTGATTTAATGTGTTGTTGGTTTCGACTGACGAAGCACAGCCAGATTCCAACCATGTTTCCCTGAAACAGCATTATATCACTTCACCTCTTATTCCCTCATTATCTAAATATATCAGAACAACATATGTTACTCATTTAAAGCAAAATGTTGTCTGAAATYTTAAAATGTAAAGTCAGACTGTTGGCCTGTACATGGATGAAATGATCTATTTTATCATTGCAATGCTCTAAAAAGTTTAACTTAATTCGAGTTGAAACACAGAGTTTTTAATTTACGTTTTTTGGTGAGTGCTTCATTTAGTTACTTTAAATTTAAAAAAGTAAAAATTGGTCCACCATTAAAAGATAAGATTAGAAATTTGGAACTAAAGCACTGAAGGATCTCGTGGTGTATCTGCTACGGTCTGGTGGCCAATTTGGGTAACAACAATAAAATTTTATTACATAATTTTTGCGTTTCTGAACTTAACACTTCAGTGTGTGTTCAGAGCCTTGATGTCCTTTTCAGGGGTGCCACCGAGCCATTGGTTCAGATATGTTGACGACACCTGGGTTAAAAT